GCAGTTTCTTAATTCTAGTTTAGACAGAAATAAGTGTTACAGAAACATACTCTGTTCTAATACAAACCCATTGTGTGATTTAACCATGGAGAGTCAAGTTTCTTATAAATATCTGATTTTATTGTATTCTTTGAAGTTCTGTGCCTTTTACTGGAGAGAGTTCTTTCTAATGTTATTGGAAAGAACACTAAAACTGCCAAATGGCTTATATTTTAAAGTTGAACATATCAATTCTAGTAATAGCTGATAAACTGGATAATGGAAACTAGATTCGTCAGATGTTCTTCAGGATGTACAAACACCTTGAAGTAGAACAGGATCCTTTTGGGCATTAACTTTAAAAATTGACTTCCTAAGAAATAAACATCTTTAGCAGTGTGCCTAGTCAGCTATCCCAAACACAGCATCTGCTCTAGAAATTTTTAAAGGCGTACTGCACATGTATCTTTTTTTTTTTTGAGAGAGAGAGAGTCTCACTCCCTCACCAGGCACCAGGCTGGAGTGCAGTGGCACGATCTTGGCTCACTGCAACTTCCACCTCCTGGGTTCAAGCAATTCTCCTGCCTCAGCCTCCTGAGTAGCTGGGACTACAGGCACGCGCCACCATGCCCAGCTAATTTTTGTATTGTTAGTAGAGAAACGTCTCCATGTTATTATTATATTGGCAGTGTTAAAATCCTTTATAAGGTTTTTTTTAAAAAAAACAGGAAACATTATAGTAACAGTATTAACAAGATCTTGCTAAAAAGAAAAGAACCCATAATCCCATCACCCTAACCTAATCAGCATTTTTGTTTTTGCATGCTTCCTTCAGGGTTCTTTTTCTAAATATATATTTTTTAATCATTTGGGTCTTTCAAAATATTTGAGCTTGCCTTTTTATGGTAGGGCTCAGGGTAACTTCTATGTTTCTTTTCTAGTCTGCGAAACTTGTGTCTGTCTTAAAGAAGGCACTTGAAATCACAAAGTAAGTATGAAGACTTTTCAGATAACTTTTTGAGGGTTAAATGGAGCTCCTGTCCAGACATTCTCAACTCCTAAGCCCCCATTTCAAGGAGTGGGAAAGGGTGGGTGTGGGATTTTCTTTCAACTTCAGTTATGGGGCATCTAAGTTTCTGCAAAGAAGCACTCCTTTAAAAAAATTAGTTTTCCCTGTGCTCCCTCCTGAGGATAGGTTTTCCCTTGACACCCTAATAAGTTTAACTTATTTTTTTCTATTCTATTCATAGAGCAAGTCATGTGACCCCTCAGCCAGAAGATAGTTGGATCCCTTTACTTATTAATGCCATTGATCATTGCATGAATAGAATCAAGGAGCTCACTCAGAGTGAACTTGAATTATGAGTTTTCAGGTTCATTTATAGTCTCTTCTCCCCTTCTCACCATAATGGTCAGGCTCTGATGTCTCCTTTTAAAATGGAGCTAGAATGCTTGCTGGATTGAAAGGGAGTGCCTGTTTATATTTAGCAAGAGACACTATTACCAAAGATTGTTGGTTAGTCTAGATTGGCACCTATTTATAAACCATATGCAAGTAATATATTTTTCTGTGCTATATGTAAAAAATAATTGCATGATTTCTCATTCCTGAGTCATTTCTCAGAGATTCCTAGGAAAGCTGCCTTATTTGCTTTTTGCTGTAAATTGTTTTCATTGTAAAGATGTTGATGGTCTCAATAAAATGCTAACCTGCCAGTGACTGAGTGCCCTTCCAAAGTTTCTTTTTACCAGAAATACAGTGGATTGAGACTAAAACATTGCTTTCATTTGGGTTTGTAGGTTTAAAAATCTGATTCTGATCAGAAGTGTATTTAGAACAAAACCCTTTATTTAGAAAAGGTTACTCCAAAATTCATCTTAGTATTTCACCATGTTATATATTATTATCAACAAGTCCTTCTGAATATTATCTCAGGTTACTCCATGTCTCTAAAATATATTGGCATTGAGCTGATGTTAGGTTTGCCCACCTTGTTGAACAGATTTATTTCCTTATACGTACTTGTATTGTCCTCTGTTACATGTGTCCCCAAATGTAAATACCAAATTTTTACAAATCAACATTTTTTTAGTGTATAAGAGATTTTATGTAATTTTAAGGGCCTTTTCAGTTCATCCTTTTGCAAAACCATCACCACTTAATTATACTTTTGCATCAGTCTAGAAGACTTCATACTGGAAAGCAGCGTAAACCTGTAGTGATGTATATTCTGGTGAGCTGAATTGGGCCTTCTGCATGTGCTGCAGGCCCCCACCACCTCTAATGCCTGTCCTTTTCCTTCTGTAGGTGTAATTCTTCACATATGCCTTTCTACTCTCTCTAGGTATAATCAGCAACAACAGTCATTCTTTGAGTGACTAGTGTATACTGGGGGTTGAAATTCCTTAAGCCAAATGTGTTTTAATTTACTGTTTGAAAGTGCCATTTTGTACTGTTAACAAGTGTCATAAAGGGAAGGAACTAAAACTAAACTGATAGAGTGCCAAGGCAACAAAATAACAAACAAAATAACTTTGTACAAAAGGAGTCTAGTTCTTTCTTCTTATAGAGCCTATTTTTTATATACTTTTTTAAAAAATATTTTTCTACTGGACCAAATTCATGTTATTAACATCAGACTTTAATTGTGGGATACTTAATAACATAGAACTCTAATATAAAGATTTATCTATAGCTGAATAATTCTCTCAGGCCCTATATAACTTTGTTCAGTCATGTTTGGATCTTTAAGGATAACAATCAGAGAAAGCACTGATCAATGTATATATATGTATTTTTTTGAGATGGTGTCTTGCTCTGTCCCCCAAGCTGTAGTACAATGGCACAATCTTGGCTCACTGCAACCTCTGCCTCCCGGGTTCTCAAGTGATTCTCTGGCTTCAGCTTCCCAAGTAGCTGGGAGTACAAATGAGCACATCACACCCAGCTAATATTTGTACTTTTAGTAGAGATGGGGTTTCACCATGTTGGCCAGGCTGGTCTCAAACTCCTGACCTCAGGTGATCCGCCCACATCAGCCTCGCAAAGTTCTGGGATTACAGGTGTGAGCCATTGCACCAAGCTTGACCAATGTAATTCTAAGATTACCTAAAAATTCCATTTTAGGATAAGATCATCCCACTTCATGAGAAATATAAGAATGATTTAAGTGTTAGGTTCTTTCCCTTACCTGCAAGTTATTGAGTGTATTAATGAGCAGTAAAATGGTTGCAAAAAACCTGAACCTGAAAATCTGAATGTACTTTGAAAAGGTATCTGAGCACCTTTTCAAAGGCTTCTTTTTGTCACTTCACCCACTAGTGTCTATTGTAAGACAACTGGTCTTCATGGCTGCCTTTGCTAGGGTGACAGAAATAAACGTCTTAATTATTGATTTCTGGGCATCTAGTTTTGTTCTTGGTCACTCTTCTGCCCAACTTGAATGACTACTCATTTGTCTGATAAACACAGTGATGTAGTTTGGCTGTCTGATCCTCCAAACCTCATGTTGAAATGTAGTTTGGCTACAAAGTGAGGTAGTTTGGCTATCTGATCCCCAGTGTTGGAGGTAGGGCCTAATAGGAGGTGTTTGGGTCCCTCATGAATGGCTTGGTTCTGTCCTTGGGGTAATGAGTGAGTTCTCACTCTATACATCCCTCCCTCACTCCCTAGCTGGCTGTTAAAATGAGGCTGGCACCTGGCACCTACCCCCTCCCCACCCATTCTTGCCCTGTGATCTCTGCTTCTGTCGACTCCTTCACTTTCCTGCATGAGTGGAAGCAGCCTGAAGCCTTCACTGTTTCTTGTACAGCAGAACTGTGAGCCAAATAAACCTCTTTTCTTTTAAACTACCCAGCCTCAGGTATTCCTTTATAGCAACACAAACACTGAGATGCAAAGTTTCTCTTCCTAGCACATGTTTGATTTAGATTGTAGAATCAAGGGCTGGCAGGAGAGTGGTGCTAGAGCTGAAGTTTAAGCTGACAGTTCAGGGGCTACCACAGTGACACTTTGATAGTTGGTTAGGTTCTGGAACATGTTGCAGTCCACTTCCACAGTGAGCCTCTGGAGCCCCAAGTGTGTCGGCGTGAACTGGAACTGGGTACACATGGTGTTTTCGGGCCACACTGAACCGAATCTGAAATAAAGGAAAAGGCAGATGGTAGTTCTATCCCAGATTCATTTCTCTGCTGGTCCCAGTGACTGATCTTTCCTTGCTTGAAGAAGTGGACCATGTACAAATAAACATCTAAGTATCTTGCTATTAAAATAGAAGTGTTTACAAAGGAACAGAAGGCAGGAGCCACCCAATGCTGAGCAACTGCATGGTTGAGAAGAGACACATCCTAAGGGCTACCAAGCTACATCTGTTGTTGCTTTTGTCATCTGTGACTTGCTTCTGGTTCAATTCCTGGTAAGGGTACTGGAGTCTCTTTGGAAGAGTGATATGGTTTTGCTATGTCTCACCCAAATGTCAACTTGAATTCTATCTCCCAGAATTCCCATGTGTTGTGGAAGGGACCCAGGGGGAGGTAATTGAATCATGGGAGTCGGTCTTTCCTGTGCTATTCTCTTTATAATGAATGAGCCTCACAAGATATAATGGGCTCATCAGGGGTTTCTGTTTTGCTTCTTTCTCATTTTCTCTTGCCACCACCATGTTAGAAGCGCCTTTCACCTCCCACCATGATTCTGAGGCCTCCCCAGCCATGTGGAACTGTAAGTCCAATTAAACCTCTTTTTCTTCCTAGTCTCAGGTATGTCTTTATCAGCAACCTGAAAACAAACTAATACAGTAAATTGGTACCAGTAGAGTGGGGCATTGCTGAAAAGATACCTGCAAATGTGGAAGTGACTTTGGAACTGGATAACAGGTAGAGATTGGAGCAGTTTGAAGGGCTCAGAAGAAGACAGGAGAATGTGGGAAAGCTTGGAACCTCCTAGAGACTTGTTGAATGGCTTTGCCCAAAATGCTGATAGCAATATGGACAATAAAATCCAGGCTGAGGTGGTCTCAGATGGAAATGAGGAACTTGTTGGGATCTAGAGCAAAGGTGACTCTTGTTATGTTTTAGCAAAGAGACTGGTGGCATTTTGCCCTAGAGATTTGTGGAACTTTGAACTTGAGAAAGATGATTTAGGGTATCTGGTGGAAGAAATCTCTAAGCAGCAAAGCATTCAAGAGATGACTTGGGTGCTGTTAAAGGCATTCAGCTTTATAAGGGAAGCAGAGCATAAAAGTTTGGAAAATTTGCAGCCTGACTATCCAATAGAAAATAAAAACCCATTTTCTGGGGAAAAATTCAAGCCAGCTGCAGAAATTTGCATAAGTAGCAAAGAGCCTAATATTAATCCTGAAGACCATGGGGAAAATGTCTCCAGGCCATGTCTGAGACCTTTATGCCAACCCCTCCCATCATAGGCCTGGAGGCCCAGGGGGAAAAATTGGTTTAGTGGGCCAGGGCCAAGGTCCCTGTGCTGTGCGCAGGGTAAGGACTTGGTGCCCTGTGTCCCAGCCACTCCAGCTGTGGCTGAAAGGGGCCAACATACAGCTTGGGCTATGGCTTCAGAGGGTGGAAGCCCCAAGCCTTGGCAGCTTCCACATGGTGTTGAGCCTGTAGGTGTGCAGAAGTCAAAAACTGAGGTTTGGGAACTTCTGCCTAGATTTCAGAAGATATATGGAAATGTCTGGATGCCCAGGCATAAGTTTTCTGCAGGGGTGGGGCCCTCATGGAGAACCTCTGCTAGGACAGTGCAGAAGGGAAATGTGGGGTCAGAGCCTCCACAGAGTCCCTACTGGGACACTACCTAGTGGAGCTATGAGAAGAGGGCCACCATCCTCTAGACCCCAGAATGGTAGATCCACCAACAGCTTGTACTGTGTACCTGGAAAAGCCACAGACAGCAACTGAAAGCAACTGAGAGGGAGGCTGTACCCTGCAAAGCTGCCCAAGACCATGGAAGCCCACCTCTTGCATCAGTGTGACCTGGATGTGAGACCTGGAGTTAAGGGAGGTCATTTTGGAGCTTTGAAATTTGACTGCCCTGCTGGATTTTGGACTTGCCTGGGCCCTGTAACTCCTTTGTTTTGGCCAATTTCTCCCACTTGGAATAGCTGTATTTACCCAATACCTGTACCCTCATTGTATCTAGGAAGTAAGTAGCCTGCTTTTGATTTTACAGGCTGATAGGTGGAAGGGACTTACTTTGCCTCAGGTGAGACTTTGGATTGTGGATTTTGGGTTAATGCTGAAATGAGTTAAGACTTTGGGGAACTGTTGGGAAGGCATGATTGGTTTTGAAATGTGAGGACATAAGATTTGGAGGGACCAGGGGCAGAATGATATGATTTGGCTGTGTCCCCACCCAAATCTCAACTTGAATTCTGTCTCCCAGAATTCTCATGTGTTGTGAGAGGGAGGAGATAATTGAATTACAAGGGCTGGTCTTTCCCATGCTATTCTTGTGATAGTAAGTCTCACAAGATCCAATGGGTTTATCATGGGTTTCCACTTTTGGTTCTTCCTCATTTTCTCTTGCCACCGCCATATTAGAAGTGCCTTTCACCTCCCTCCATGATTCTGAGGACTCCCTAGCCATGTGGAACTGTAAGTCCAGTTAAAACTCTTTTTCTTCTCACGTATGTGTTTATCAGCACAGCAGGATGAACATAAACTAATACAGAGAACTCTAGTTTTGGAACCTTTGCTTATTGCTAAGCACAGTAGATGTAGCAGGCTTATTGAGAGGCTGTCAGTATGTCAGCAGGTGGTGTTTGGAGCCTTGTCAACAACCTCCTGGCCTGCCTATAAACCTTCTTTTGGTGACAGACTTCCTTTAAGGAGCTTTGCCCCACAGTTGATTTGGGAGACCACAGAAGTCTGGTTAAGTGTTGACAGTCCCCTTATTGACTTATTAGCAAGAGTGACTCAGTAACTCACACATCTGCTAGGGACCTCAGGACAGTAGGTATAGGTATCTTGAACTTTATACTGTGTATTCAACTAAGGATGCAGTAGACATAATGAAAGAAGATACTCGCAACATTTAAAATCAACAAGAGACTAATACATGGACTATACAGGGAACTTCTACAAATCAACAAGAAGGAAGAGCAGAGACACCAAAAGAAAAGTGGGCAAAATAAAGACAAACTACTTACCGAGAAGAAAACATAAAAGGCTAACAAACATATGAAGAGTTTCAATTAAAACAATAGTAAGATATTACTTCATTTTTATTAGACTGGAAGAAAATATTAATAGCTGGGTATTGCCAGGAATGAAGGAGAGGTAGGAATATCGAAACTCTCAGGTACTGCTGGAGGGAGTGGAGACTTGCAGCCATTCTGCAAATCTGACAGTACCTGTTCAAACCACATCATATCCAGTGACTCAGCAATTCTATTCCTGGGTATATATGTCCTCAGACTCCACCAAAATTTCAAACAAGTATATAAGGAGACCTATGTGAGGATGTTCACTGCAACATTATTTTCAGTGTCGGAGTTGGAGGCACTCTGGGTGCCCATCTCTGTAGAGCAGAGTGGCAGAAAGTGGTGGGTGTACATGATGAAATATTATGTAGCAGAAGACATATAGTCATAAATCTTAAGAATATAGTTCTGAGTGAAAAGTAAGAAAACCAATTAATTATAAATTTATATAAGTTAAAAATACAGGCTCATGAAAGCAACAGTACACATTTTACATGTACAAATAAAAGGACATGAAGGATGGTGGTGAAAATGGGAATAAAAGGGAATAAATTGTGTATTGTGGTGGTAACTACCAGAATGCAGCCCTCTGATCACAATGAGAGGTAGCCTGTCCTCCCTTCATTACTCTCCAATACCCAGCCCTAATGCCCTCGCCTGCATTCACAGCAATACCCAGGCTCTCCCTGCATGATCAGGGCAGCAATGAGGGCAAGTAGGTGCCCAAGGGGCTCACATAGCCTGCCTCACTCCTATTCTCCTACAGATATAGTGGTCCCAGGATGAGGGAAGCCACTTGGTAGCCCTAATCCTTTAGTTCAGTTTCTGTGGGTATCTGCTGTCTGCAAGGACATGACAAAGAGAGAGTCTCTCTCTTGGGCCCTGCCTTTGTGACCCGTTGAGACATTTCAGGGGGAAGAGAAGTCTGCCATCACTTACCTGTAGCTCCTCTCCCTGTGAATGAGCCCCCTTCCCAGGATGGAGATCACACAGTCCTCCATGGGGGCATCTAGGGAATTCTGGATGCTGACTGAGGCTGTGAGGGGTTGATATTGCTCTGCTTTCTCTGGCATCTGTGGGAAGAGGCAATGCCTGGTGTGGATGTCAAGGACAAAGCCACAGTCACTCTCTTCTCCCCTGTACCCCTGTACCCTCAGTAAGTTTCTTCATCTCTGCCAAGCTGACCCAAACTTCATAGCTGATGTCTTCCACCCGCTTTACCTGCTCTTCCTGCATTTATTCTCACCCTTGGTCCATCACTGATGATTTGTGATGGTGCCTCTCCTCTATGCAGACATCTCGGAAGTTCTCCCACCATCTTAGGAATTCAGCTTACATTGTATTCAGAGTTCTTCATGGTGTTCCCCCAACCTCCCTCCCCCACCTCACCTGTTCTTCCCATAACTAAGTGACATCCCAGTCCCATCAGGGACTGTCCCATCCCCAACACACCCCTCAGGCTACCTTCCATTGCACCTCTTTGCTGTCTTCTGCATTCAATGGCCTTCCCTTACCTCTATATTGAAAGAGTACTCATTTTTCAAGGTCCAGCATAAATGTCATCTCCTTCATAAAGTCATCCCCAAACCCACCAGCTGGAATTAATCCCCTTTGCTTCACTTATTGCTTCACTTATTCCATAGCAACTTTGTGCATGTATTAAAGCACTTATCTGGAACACCAAATGTTGTGTCTTCCTAACTAAACTATAACCGGCTTGAGGGCAGGGATCAGATCTCATTCATTTTGGCCAGGGTAGACACATGGAAAGAGGGCTGGACCAACAGCCATAAGCCTCAAGAACTCCCTGTTTTTATGATCTTAGGCATGTTGCTCTCTAGGACTCAGCTTTTTTTTTTTTTTAAATCTCGATAATGGGAACAGTTCCACCTCACAGGGCTTAGAAAGAAAAAGGAGGTGAAAAATCCTCTGGCATGTGTAGGAAGTGCTAAATAAACATAGGCTATTATGATCCCTGTAGGTAGGAGGCAGCAACTAGGAATGCCTCAATTTTAGAAACCTTTACTTAACTAACTAAAGAAGTTGGAAGATTAAACCTTAATAAGGGTATGTAAGAAACTATGTCTCTCAAGAGAAAAAGCTCTTAAATGTAGCATTTTCTGGTAATCCTGTAGCACAGTCATCTGCTCTGAAGGGGCTTGGATTCCTTCTGAAATGCGGGCCTGAGTGGTGGCAGATTGAGGGCAACTCAGGGGAGGACTGGTGCCTACCTTGATGGCAAGGTGTGGTTTACAAATGGCAATGTCTTCCTGAGCAAAGCAGCTGAGGCTGGACTCAGAGTATGTTGCCATGGCGGTGAGTCTAAGGAAGGTGTTCTCAGGTACATTTTGCTCAAAATAGGAGAATAACAGGCCAATGGTTATTGTCTTTTCTGAAACACACAACAGGTGGAGTTAGTGCCAATGGGTGTGTGTACCCCAGAAACAGCCATAGTTACACGCACAATGCAAAAGACTCAGGGCCTCACTGAGGTCAGAAAAATGCCCCATTTCCCCTAGCAACTGTATGCTTGGAACTCACTTAAGACCTCATTCCTCATCCTCATACTCATCACCACCTCCGACAGCACTCTTGGCAGACCACCTTAGTGAGGTTGGGGAAGGGCCCCAGTGAACTAGCGCAAGTTAAGCTATTTGGGCCTCAGTATCCTTGTCTCATAATAATGCCTTTATAGTGGGATTGTTTGTGTTGTTTGTAGGCTTTTTGTTTTGTTTTAGGGACAGGGTCTTGCTCTGTCACCTTACAGACAGAAACATCTGCTCCTACTGTCACCACTGCTCAGGGGATGACATATCTGCCCTGCTCAAGTTGAATCCTCTGCTTTCTAAATCTGTGCCCCTCCTGACCCCATCACACTAGCTGTGTAACTTTGAGTGAATTATTGTGTCTCATCTCATCTGTAAAGTGGCAATAGCAATGGTTCTTGCCTCAGAATGTTGTTGTGAGGGCTAATAAGATGATGCATATAAAGCACTTAACACCATTTTGGGCAAAAATAAGTGCCCAATAAATGTGAGCTACAATTATTCTAGTCTCATTTTCCCAAGCATAGCTCTATCAATTTTAACCCATCTCTCCTGAGACTGCATTCTTTCCCTCTTGCCTGCTTATTTTCCTCAGCATGGAAGCAGGTTCAGCTCTCTCCCTCTGCCCAGTGTCCCTGGCTGACTACCCCCTAGCCTCCCTTTTCCTGTCATGCCTCCAGGGAGGACTGGGCAGTTTGTCTCACCTTCCCAACTCAATCGGCTTAACGCCCAGGAATCTTCTCTGCAAGGCCACTCTCTTAATGGTGCTTTTCAGCATTAACACCTCATGCCCTCTCTGCTGACCTTGCTGGGTGCCCCCTTCCTCTGACTTTCTGGCCTCCCTTTCTCTCTGCTTTTCCCCTGACCGTCTCCTAAATGCTGCTGCTGCTGCTGGGTTCCCTCCTCACCCTCTCATCTACTCACTGTCCTCTCCCCACTGCCATGAGCTCATCTATGCCCTGACTCTTTGCTGGCTCCCTTGTGCTGGGATTTCCCTGTCTGAGTTCCAGCACAGAACTTTACCTTATCAAGGTTTCTTGCTGCCTACTGGTCAGCTCTACTTGGATGTGTCATGGGCTTTCAGACACTATATGCCACAAACAAATACATCCTTTTTCTCCCCAAACCTGTTCTTCCCCATTTTTCCTATTCTAGTGACCCACCCATACCAGAAGCACCCACCATACACGTATAGACTCACACATTCACAAGTCCAATCTATCCCAACTCCTTAACATGTTTTAATTCTAAGTGCTTCCAGCTTAGTTTAGCCTTCATTTCTTGACTTGATGACTACAAAATCTTCTGATCTTCAATCCAGTCATTCTCAACACTGGATGTACATTAGAATCAAGTCGGGAGCTTTACAAAACAATCCAAATGCCAGGCTACACCCCAAATCAGTTACATCAGACTCTGGCAGTGAGGCCCAGACATTAGTATTTTTTTTAAGTTTCCCAGATAACTGGAGTCTCTGAGCATACTCTGGCTCAGAAGGCTGCCCCCAGCCCCCCCAAAAAAGTTCGCCAGATGACTCAATGTACAGCCAAGGTTAAGAAACATTCTTCTTATATGACCCCTTCCATTCCTTTCTGCCAAAAGTTCTTTCTTGTTAAAATGAATTTCTGATTCCATTGGCTACCCTGGTTGAAACCTTCCACCAGCTTTCCATTACTCAGAGAACACAACTCAAACTCCTTAGCAAGACAGATAAGACCCTGTGTGACCGGGGCCCTGTCCAGCTCTCATGTCACTCCCCTGACTCCACTCCTCCCATGCTTGGAAAGGGAAGAGTGATGCAGAGACTGGAGGTGGGGTGACTGGTTAGAAGGCTGTTGTAATGCTGTAGACAAGCTCTAGTCAACTGATTCTCAGACCTGTCTGCACATTGGAATTACCTGAGTTTTAAAAAATTCTGATGTATTCCACCATAGAGTTGTTTTTTTTTTTTTCTTTTTGAGATGGAGTGTCACTGTGTTGCCCAGGCTGCAGTGCAGTGGCATGTCTTGGCTCACTGCAACCTCCGCCTCTTGGGTTCAAGTGATTCTCCTGCCTCAGCCTCCCCAGTAGCAGGGATTACAGATGTGTGCCACCATGCCCAGCTAATTTTTCCATTTTTAGTAGAGTCAAGGTTTCACTATGTTGGCCAGGCTGGTCTTAAGTCCTGACCTCAGGTGATCCACCTGCCTTGGCCTCCCAAAGTGCTGGGATTACAGGTATGAGCTACCAAGCCTGGACCACCACGGCATTTCTGATTTAACTGGCTTGGGACACAGGCTGAGCATGAAACTTCCCTAGGTAATTCTAATGTGCAGCAAAAATTAAAAGCAATTGCTCTAGTCCAGGGAATCTTAACCATAGAATAACACAGGGTGTTTTTTGCTTGTTTGTTTAAAAAAAAAAAAAATGCCTGGACCCCATCTCAGACCAATTAAATAAGAACCTCAAGGATAAGGAGGGCCCTTTGCACACGTTGCTCCTTCCATCTGAAATGCTATGACTTACTTTTCTGGCCATTACTCTCCTACTCCTCCTTCCAGATTCAATGCAGTACAGTTTATTTGGGGACAGCGTACTCCAGCCTGAAGGAGATGCGCCCCTGCCATCATACTCTGTTAAATTCAGCAAATGTTTCTCACACTGCTATGAAGGGTCTGTTTACTGAACTGATTGCAGTTGGTATCATGTTTTTTTCCTGCTTCGGGCCCAATAAATATGTGTTGAATGAGTGAATGAGAGAGAGCACAAGAATGAGCACCAGGGGCTCAAAGCCATCTTGAGAAACTGCAGGGGGGTGCCCTGTGGCTGCTGCCTGCCCAAGGCAGAGCCATGTGTGTGTGGGATGTCTGGTGTGGCCATAGAGCATTACCCAGGTTGTCACTGAGTGTGAAGGACAGCTTCTTCCTCCAGAGCTCGGCAGCAAGGACACCGTTGTAGTGCACAGCCTGGACCCCAATTGCCAGCTGCACTGCCTTCTGCTCACTGTGGTTAATCAGCGTCACTGAGATCTGGCCATCCCCTCTCAAGGGTAGGGAGCTGGGTGCTTTCAAGAACAGGTACAGAGGATTGGCAGTCTCGAAACTGGGAGGACAGATGCCATTGTCTTTCCCAAATTTCATTCTCTCTTTCTTGACTCGCTCCAGCACCTCTTTTTCCTGAAGAGACCCTGGAGAAGGGAAGAAACAAAGCCAATCTTTTACCCAGGAGATGTAAATGCTTCTAATAAAAGCCCAGGAATCAAAACCATTTACCCACTTCTGCTTAAATGCCAAAGTCACAAGAGCTCTGCAAACCTCTAAGGCCATATTTAGCCCCCAAATGTCTGTGTGAGGCAGATCCAGCACTGACACAGTGTGTCTCTTCCAAGCCACTCAAGGACCAAGTTCTTTTTCAAGTGTTATGAATTTGCCCCTTGAATGATGAGACAGCAAGGTTGGGGACAAGTCACACTGTCTCTGAGGACAGTTTTGCAGGGAACTGAATCTTTTATGTGAAAGAATTTAGACTTACTCTGAGGATCAGGAATGCTGTTAAATGTCCTAGGGTGTGCAGCCCCTACAACAAATATCTGTCACCAAATGTCAATGGTGTCCAATGGGGTTGAGAAACCCTGTTTTATATGATGGGGAAAGGACAGGGACTCTTTCTGACTGCATCTGCCAGGCCCATCCCTTTCCCTCATTTGCTGTTTCAGGTACCGAGAAGCCTGGGGCCCTTCCCTGGCCCATACCTTCAGGATACTTGTAGTTCTGAGTGATGTCCTCACAGCGGTCACTGCCCACACCCTTGGTGCTGATGTTGTTGCCAACATACTTTGTGTTGGAGTCAGTCAACTCCAGTTTCCCATCCTCACGGCACTTCCAGACCACACATGAGGCATTTATGGCAGCAAAGAGGTCTGACACTGCAGGGGTCAGCCCCAGCATCCCTTCCTTGACTGCTCTGACTGGCACCAGATCACAGGACCCCAGGACTAAGGGAGAGAAAGGTTGGTGAGCCCGGAAGCCATGCCTAGACCTGTGCTCAGTTCAGAGCTGCATAACCTCAGTCCCCATCCTCTTGCCTATTTTCCCTCCCCGAGGACCAAGGTCAGAGGTCAGCGCTAGGCAGGGCTTCTGAGAGAGTCACAGGGGTGAAACTATTTAGTGATCAACTATTTAGTGATAAGACTTTCTGGTCATGGCACATGACAGGAGCTGTCTCAGGAAATGGACAGGCAGAAGCTGAGAGGGCCACACTTAGCGTGAGAAACTCCCAAACCAGCTTTACTATTGATATCACAGGAATAGGGCTGCCTTTCTTGAGCACTTACTTGGTGCCAGGCTCTCTACCATTTCTGTTCCTGGGTGAGGAAGAGCTATCTTTTATGGGTCCTGAAGCTTCCTTTTCTGGGCTGTAGCCTATCCTGATACCCTCTTCATCCACGTCCTCAGAACCCCCCTGCTGCAAGCCCCTGACCTAACACAGCCACTCACCGACTTAAGATCCTTATGATCATATGATCCTATGAAAAGCTGGAGATTTCTCAAAGCACTTAGAACTACCATTCAACCCAGCAATCCCATTATTGGATATATACCCAAGAGAAAATAAATTGTTCTGCCAAAAAGACACACGCACTCATATGTTTGTTGCAGCACCATACACAATAGCAAAGATGGAATCAACCTAGGTGCCTATCAATGGTGGGTTGGATAAAGAAAATATGGTACATATATACCATGGAATACTACACAGCCATAAGAAAGAATGAGATCATGTCCTTTGTAGCAACACGGATGCAGCTGGAGGTCATTATCCTAAGCAAATTCATGTAGGAACAGAAAACCAAATGTTGCATGTTTTTACTTACTAGTGGGAACTAAACATTGAGTACTCATGGACATAAAAATGGCAACAGACACTGGAGACTACTAGAGGCATAAGGGATGGGGAGGGGTTGAAAAACTATTGGGTACTATGTTCAGTACCTGGGTAATGGGAGCAATCACACACCAAATCTCAGCATCATGCAATAGACCCATGTAACCTGCACATCTAGCCCCTGAACCTAAAATAAAAGTTGAAATTATTAAAAAAAAAAAAAAAAGATTCTCTGTCCTTCATTGCAACCCAACTCCCTAACCCACTGCTCTAAGGTGCCTCATCTCCCTATAACCTTGTGGCTGGAATGGCTGGTGCCTCTATTCCCATGAGCCCACTGGCATCAGATCAGCCTTCTGCTGGCCACTGTCATGCCTCGTGCTTCTCCTGTTTTTGAGGACGCAGACCCCTTGGGACTGCCTGCTGCTCCCGAGTCCTCTCCAGGGGACTCTTTCATCTCTTGCAGCTCTGTGCAGCCCTGCGTGGTCCTAAACCCAACCCTAGGCTTTACCTTTACCTCCATTAGGAGCACATGGGTGCAGAATCTGCCATCCATCATAACCCTGGGGTAAGGCAGGCCGTGTCATCCAGCACTCTGTGGAAGTCTGGAAGATCCTAAATGTAGCAAAGAGAAAAATTCAAGTGGGAAGGAAAAGGGGTGCTGAAGAGGTTCTGGCACAGTTGTTGTTGTTCCAGTGGGATGGGAGGTCACTGTGTCACAGTGGCTGTGGCACTCCCAGGAAGGGGCGTGCACACCACCACTGACCATCAGCGCTCGCCTCCAAGGGTCTTGAAAGCCTACTCTCCTCCATGCCAGGGTCACGCAGGGGATGGCACTCCTGCAGAGGTGTGCCATGCAGGTTTCAGCCCTTCCTGGCTTGGAACCTCATCTCTCTCAGGCTTCTCACCAGATTCTGCCTCTCTGGCCTTCTCCGTTCTGAAGTCCCTCCTCATTATAGTATTCATCTACGAGCAAACGCCCACCGGTGCCCTGCGCTGAGGCAAAGGTGGTCACCACGCGGGCAGGGATTCCCAGGCATCGCAGCACTGTGAGAAGAGGGGTGGAGTGTAAGGGGGCACTCGAGAGATCAAGCTGGGGGCATGTGGAAGGCTGGCATTTTCAGTATGGACACATTCACGTTTCCTCTGGGCACTGAAAACCTGGGAGGAGGAGTGCAGGCACCTAGAAGTGGCAGCCAAGAACAGGACGCATAAAGGCTAATCAATAAGGCACAGGTTCTACTGCATTTGCGGTATATAGCAGGGGAGAGGGCAACAGAACCTAGAACACAGAGCTGCAGGGCTCCCCTGCTGGGGCAGAGTTAGGAGAGTAAGTGAATTTGGGAGCAGAGTCTGCAAATGAGCCCAACTCTGCTGGGGGAAAAGCAGCAGAAGCTGGTGGGAGGAGCTGCCTGGGACAACTACTTCTGTGTGATGAGATGGGGAAATGTGGCCACAGGGAGGCAGCCTCTGCTTTTGGAAATGTCCCTCCCACATGGAAGGCCAGGGAACAACCCAAGAGGCAGGGCACTCTATACAGCAGACAAGGGGACCAACCTGTGCAAGCAACAGCGGCCAACACCCAGGCCTGGCCATCATACACAGGTCGGCCTCGGCCGGTGAGCCACTGCCGCAGGATGGGCACACTGCCCCGTCGCTTATTCAGCAAGGCACCTTCCTCGGTGGCTTGGGTCTGCGGGGTGGGCAGGACCCTCTTCTCCTTGAGAGCATGCAGCTGTTTGGGGAAATGTGCGGATGTCAGTATGAATCCCTCAGGTAGGACAGCTTCCAGGGCATGGGTAAAGAGGGCTCACCACAGTACTCCAACCATGGTGAACAGATCTCTGGCATCAGAGCTACCTGGTACTGATTAAACCTACAGCTCCTGGGCTCTGTCCTAGGCCCCTGGGTCATACTCTAGGGCAGGAGTCCAGGACACTCCTTCTTTTTTTTTTTTTTTTTTTTTTTTTTTTTGAGACAGAGTTTCACTCATGTTTCCCAGGCTGGAGTGCAATGGCGCGATCTCGGCTCACCGCAACCTCCGCCTCCTGGGTTCAGGCAATTCTCCTGCCTCAGCCTCCTGAGTAGCTGGGATTACAGGCACACGCCACCATGCCCAGCTAATGTTTTGTATTTTTAGTAGAGACGGGGTTTCACCATGTTGACCAGGATGGTCTCGATCTCTTGACCTCGTGATCCACCCGCCTCGGCCTCCCAAAGTGCTGGGATTACAGGCTTGAGCCACCGCGCCCGGCCGAGGACCCTCCTTCTTAACAAGTCCTCTGGCTCCAGCCACAAAGAGGAGCATGAGAGCTGCCCTTCCTCAAGGGCTGGTTTCACTGGTTCTTAGTCTTCCATCCTGACTCATTTGAGGTGGTTTGTGCCTGGGTCCTGGAGGCCATTTATTCCAAGCTTCTTTCAACTCACAGGCTGACCTACTCACAGGCTGACCTGGACCCTTGCCACCTTTTCAGATGGCACGTCAGTGGCAAAGAGGGAATGGCGAATGCATGACTCCTCTGGGAGGATTTTTAGGGACAAGGGAAAGCACCAAGTTACCATCATGGTCTGCATTTTTTTTTTTTTTTTTTTTTTTGAGATGGAGTCTTGCTCTGTTGCCCAGGCTGGAGTGCAGTGGTGCAATCTCGGCTCACCGTAACCTCCGTCTCCTGGGTTCAAGCGATTCTCCTGTCTCAGCCTCCCGAGTAGCTGGGATTACAGGCAGGCACCACCACCCCCAGCTAATTTTTGTATTTTTAGTAGAGATGGGATTTCACCATATTGGTCAGGCTGGTCTGCCACCTGACCTCAAGTGATCCACCCACCTTGGCCCCCCAAATTGCTGGGATTACAGGCGTGAACCACCATGCCCAGTAACCATCATGGTCTGCATATTCTTACAAATAATTTAGAAGTCCCTTTGATCACCGCAGCAGCAAGCACTGGGTAAGATGGGCCCTTCCTGCTCCTTCCCAGGAACCTAAGCTCCAGGTTGGGGCTGGGTGTGGGGATGGAAAGAAGGGCTTAATCTTCTGCGAGCTTGTGTCCTGAGGTGTGACACATTTCTTTGCTTTTCTTCCAGCTGTGGATGCTACTGCCTGCCTTTTTTCTCCTCCTCAGACCCTTCTGTAGGAACTATCCCAGCACCCTGGGAAGAGGGGGCCATTTGTGATTTACAGGGTCACGGTGATGGGGCAGGTCTGTCAGAGGGCTCTTGCCTTACCTCCGCCCCGTCTGGTTCCCCAGCCTCTCACTTACCAAGGCACCCAACACACGGGCCACGTGCACCGGCTGGCTCCACTTCTCTATATGCTTGTCCTCATTCAGCAAGCGCAGACTGAGGTCAATGACATCCCCCTCAAACTGTTAAGGATCACACAGGGCCATGATGAAGGGTCTCCAGGTCAGGCACTCATCCCACAAGATAGCCTCATCATCTCGTCCTTCTCCCAGACCCGTGCTCCACACCTGCCTCCGTTGCCTCATCCCTCAGAGTTCTGGCTCCCTCCTCCCACCCCTCAATGTGCCCTGGGTTCCTTTTCCCAGGCATCCAGTCCTTTGCCCATTCTGTTGTCTGACTCCCAGTAGGGTGTGAGCTCTTGAGGACTAGTGCTGCATGGCTTTGTTTCATCGCATTGCATTCCATTTCTATTTAGTGAGCCCCTACTGCTCCTACCAGCCCTGAACCGGAGGTGGAGAATACCGAGGCAGCTCCTGCTCCTGAGGAGCCCATGGTTTAGGAATGGAGATGGTCATGCAGCCGCTTAGATACAGGGCACAGCAGCATGGCCAGGGCTCTTGTAGAGATGCCAGCACAGAGCAGCACAGTGGAGAGGCTCCCTCTGCCTTTGGGGTTGGGGAAGGCTTAGAGAAGGTCTTGAGAGAGGGGCAGGAGCTTGCCAGGAGATAAGGGTGGGAAGCCCTTCCTGGCAGAGGGAACATTCAGCCTGTTGCTCTGGGGAGGTGAGGAGTTGGAACATGGGGTGGTTCATGGGGAAAGGAAAGCAGGGGCCTGGCTGGAAGGGCTGTGGATGTTAGGCTAGGGGTATTTGGTTTTTATCTCGAAGACAGTGGGGATTTAACTGAGGCTTGATTTGCCAGTTTTAAGGAAAATAATTCTGATATCTCCGGAGGGTGTTCTGATGTGGCTTAAAGGAAAGGAAGGCATCACAAGGCTGAAATGGGCTAGAGAAATGGTCTCATGACCAGGGGTTTTTGGACCTACCAGGTCTGTCTAGCCTGAACATACAAGGTTATGGGACAGTCACTCTACACACTCCTCCCCTAGAGGGCCCTGGTACCTGGCCAAAGTCCCAGGACTCTGCCTGGATGCAGTCAGCTGTGCCCAGGTAGATGAGACCATTCTGGTTCAACAAGTACTCCCTGCGCTGAGCCTCATTGTTCAGGAACACAGCATCATCTGGTAAGAAGGGGTAGGGATGAGGGCCTGTGGGGTGTGCTAGGTCCGCCTTTCCCATCCAGGCCTCTGTCCTCCCTGCTGAGATTAGGCTTGGCTGCTGGCCACCCCTTCAACGCTGTCCCCACTGGGACCCAGCCCAGAGTCCCTGGGTCAATCAGAGTATGGCCTTTATGGTGAGCCAGGCAGACAAGAACAACCTTAAAAAGCTTGGTTGGCCACGTGCAGTGGCTCACACCTACAATCCCAGCATTTTGGGAGGCCAAAGCAGGAGGATAGTTTGAGGCCAGGAGTTTGAGACCAGTCTGGGCAACACAGGGCAGGTCAGTCTAGAGAGTGCCCAGCAATCCACAAGAACAGAATGAGCCAGAAGAGAGGAACAAAGACAGGAACAGTAGATTTCCTGGAGGGAAGAAGAAGCTTGTGAGATAACACAGACCCCTTGGGGCCCTGGTTGGTGGGGAGCCTTATCAATTCAAAATTGTATATTCTTTTTTGTAAGAGGGTCCCCCAGATTGCGTCAGCTTTAGGCCCTGAAAAACCTGAAAACACTCTGGACACAGAATAGCAGGGAGATGGAGAGAAGTCCCTCCTCAGGCCACTTCATCCTGAGGCCCTCTCCAGCTTTCCTTTCACCCCTGTACTGCTATAATGAAGGGCAGCTTTCCCAGCGTCATCTCAGTGAGTCTCAAATCCTGTGACCAAAATAGCCTGAGCCAGCACCAGGGTCTGGTGGTGAGACAGCTTTTGCTTTTGGTGGGAAACCTCAACCTGCTCCTCCGGGGAGTGACACCAAGACAGCACCCTGAGTCTGAGAGCTGGTTCATCCAGGGAGAAGGCCCTGGCACAGACTAGGTGTTGGTGCTACCCTTAGAGAGGGCTGCCGCAGGGACCTGGCACAAGTGCTCCCTGCCACAACTGCATTCCAGCTCCAGTGCCTGGAGTCCCTGTGCAGCTCACGCTGGCCAAGGTCCAAACTTACCTCTATTCCAGGGGTTAAAGAGCAACGTGAACTGGCCCAGGAGGCATGGCTTCCTGCCTGAGAACTGCAGCAGAAGCGAGTAGTGGCCAATGACAGCGTCCGCAGGTGTGGTCACAGAGATGGTCCAGGACTGGGCATCTCTCTCCTCCACCACTGCACTCCACAACTTTTTGTCCCCCAGACTAGAAATCAGGAATGTGGCTTGGGTCTTGTTGACCTTGGAAGGCTGCTCTCCTGCAGTCACACAGTGATCAGTCAGTCATTGGGACTTCTTGGTCACAACTTAGAGTAATAAGGTCAGGGTATTACAAAGATGGAGCAGGTGAAAGTTGTTTTTGGAGGATAATGAAAGCAACCCATCCAGAAATGAGGCCCATCAAGAAAGAGTGATAGGAGAACACAGGCTGTCGGTGTCCATGGACCTACATCTAGAAAGGTTCATAGTCTGTAAAATGGGCATCACAATGGTACCTGCTTTCATGGCCCATGTGAGGACTGAATGAAATACTGCATTTGAAGTACTTGGCCCAACACCTGACAGGTAGTATGGATTCAATAAACAGTAGCAATTAAATGTTATATTTAGCCTGGATTTGATTCCATCCAGAATTTTCTACAAAGCTACTATTATCTGTGCAACCGAAAGGAAACCCTTGGTGATGCTGCTGCTGGGCAGCTTCTGAGTTATCATAAATAATATTTACCAGGCACCTCGTCTTGTGGCACCCTCATGACCACCCTGCCAGGTAGGCAGGACTTCTTATGGACCACCTGCAGTGTGGGCCAGTTGCCCCTTGATTCCTTAACATGGTGTTGGAGAGAAACCCCCAGGGCTGCTGCCAAAGGGGTCTAGGCCTGTCTCACTAACCAGTTTGTGCAGTGAGGGCCACCTTCTTCAGAGCAGGCAGAAATGCGTGGACTGGAGCACGGAAGTGCAGGATGATGGTGAAAGGCTGCCCCCTCCTCACAAAGAGGCGCCGGGAGCTGAGGGCCTTGGTGTGGTGCTCCTCATTGTTTCTTGCTACCTGAAAGTCGCAGCTTTTGATACCCAGGGCTGTTGTGGGAAAGAGAGAAGTCATGGAAACTAGGTAAATGTGACAGCATAAGCAGAGATTCTGGAGTCAGAGAGACCAGGGTTCAAATCCTCGCCTCCACGTACTTATTAGTGCAATCCCAGGCAAGTAACTTAACCACCCTAAGTCTCGGTTTCATTTTCCTTAGAAAAATCATCCCTCCTTTCAGAGTGATGGGGATTTGATGATGTATAATACATTTAGCACAGTGTCAGATACATAGTAAGCCCCAATAAATGATGAAACTGTTATTGTTGTTATTATTAATAAGAACAATGCTTATTCTCATTGTTGGCCTCCTTTTTCTGGTCCCAGTCCACAAGTAATGAATAAAACCCACAATCTTTCTCAACCCTATTCATTTTTTCTTAGAGCACAACCAGATAATTTTTAGAAATGGTTTTGAGATCAATGAGTCCAATTCTCTTGTTTTATAGATGAGAAGAGTGAGGCTGAGTGTGGAACTGACTCACCTGAGACTGTGCATGATGGCTCTTTGACCTAAAGTCTTATCATAAACTCACAACACTATGCAGCCCAGAAAAACCCTTCAAGGAGGTCGCTCAAGAGTTTTATGAGTTTGTGAGTTTGTTAGTCAATTATCATTTAACAGAGGTGATATGGTTTGGGTTTGTGTCCAGGCCCAAATATCAGGTTGAATTGTAATCCCCTGTGTTAAGGAGGGGCCAGGTAGGAGGTGATTGGATCATGGGGGTGGTTCCTAATGGTTTAGCACCACCCCCCAGTGCTGCTTGTTTAAAAGTGTGTACCACCTCCCCCTTCATTCTCTTTCTCTGTCTCCCATCAGCCATGTGAAAATGTGCTTGCTTCCCCTTCACCGTCTGCCATAATCTTCCCCAGGAGCAGAAGTTTGTACAGCCATAGAACCATGAGCCGGTTAAACCACTTTTCTTTATAAATTACCCTGTCTCAGGTATGTCTTTATAACAGTGTGAGAACAGATTAACATAAGAGGGAAGAAAAAAACGAGAAGTAGAGAAGCCAAAAGATAAAGAACAATGCTGGAAAAAGAGGTTTAGGGTTTTTTTTTTTTTTTTTCAGCAAAGGAATTGTGTACTTTTTGTTCCTTTGATGGCAGAAGGCCATTGGGAATCTCCTTGGTCTGAAAGGCAGCCTACAGTTTTTGCACTGGCTCAGTTGCCCTAAGAGAAAAGCTATAGTTTTTGCTTGCAGGTATGAAATGAAGTCTAACCCACTTCAGAGAAGTGATATGACCCTGATGGCAATGTCCATTAGACTACAAGACATATCTTGTCAAATTCAGGGTACTCCTACTTCAAATTTCGCTCAGTCCCCAGTCCCTCTGGCTTACAGCTGAAGAGTAGAAGGGAAGGATGTTCTACTTTTTCTTTCACTAGTGTTGGGGACGATAGAAGATGCCAACGATATCTATTTAGGACAAAAGAACTGAAGTGGTTGAATATGAAGAAATATGAAACTGTGCAGAGGAGGGAAGAAACCTCTGTCTCTCATCCTGGTGTCCTTGGGTGCCCCTTGCATCCTTGTATCCCCCTCCTCTACTTGGCTTGGTCAGCCCATGGCTATAGATAAAGTAGCCACAGGGTGGCAGGGTTGTAAGTTGAAGTACAGCGGCACTCGGAAATCAACAATGATTTCTCTTTCTGCTTAGCACAAAGCTTGTGCTGGGGCCCAGGATGAGCCTGCCGCTGCCGACTGGTTGAGTTGGATTGGATGGTCCAATGCCTTAGTCACATTTTAAGTCATATGACTTGAGCCTCAGTGTATCTGAACCCATGTAATGACCACAGCGTTACAGCAAAAGTCACTAGAATTCATCTGGATTCTGGTTCTGTCTGGAAGCCTCCCGTCATCTCTTCTCTACCTGGCAGATGTCTACTTATCTTCCAAGATCCAAAGGCACCCACTTCTGTAGCCTTCACTGACTCCTGCTGGTAGAGGTCAATCCTCTTTATTCAGCACTTAACCCATTTGATACCCATCACCTGCCTAGCCCTCTGCTTCCCCTTTCACTGTGAGCTCCCTGAAGTACAGTGCTTTCTAATATCTGCATCCCCTGCCCCAGCAGAACTCAAGAGATAGCCAATCAGTGTTTGCTCTGTCAATGAATGGATGAAAACATTGAGACAGCCTTAAAGGAGATTTTCTCAAATGCATCACAGGGGCCTCAGGCCTCCACCTGTGCTGCCAGACCCTCACAGGGCCTCTGAGGTTTCTGCATTCTCTAGGTCTGCCTAGTTTCTTAGTTTATCTCTGCCTCTGCTCCTTTTAGGTGGATTCATTAACTCCTACCCCCACTTCTCTCCCACTGGGGCCTGAGGCAATGATACCTTCATGTTTTCCCAGCATCTCCTGTTTGTACCACAGCCCATGAGAAGTTGTGTTAACACAGAGACCACATGGAATGCTCTTCAGAGGTGCACAGTACCCCACCCTCCTCAATCTCTGCCTTTCACAATGCCCCAGCGTTGCCTCAAATGTGCCCCTTAAGCAGTTTTGTGTTTGACAACTGGCTGGAGGGAGGGGGATGGTGAGGGAACAGTAGAGTTACAGCATTTGCCAGAGTTCTGTGGTGTAAAATACTACCCCTGTGGCCAGTTAGAAGCTACTGAGGTGATGTTAGCGAGCACAGAGCTAAGAAGAAGCACAGAGTGGCACATCATCACGTAGTTTTTCTACCATAGAGATACAAGAGACATAAACACCCTCAAGAACATAAAGGTAAAAAGAGGTAAATTATGTAGGAGGTGACAATTTTAGAGTACTTATTATCTTTCTTTTTAATGTAGCTTTTTACTTGTAAGTTTATACAATTTAATTTTTAATAATGCCTGTGTTTAAGAACTGGTCCACAAGATGCCTCAAAATTTAGCAATTGGCTCTTGCAAACCAGCACAATCCAGCTCCAGCCACCGCAGCACGTCATGAGCTCATACTCACTGATTGTCATCTGGTGGCTACTGCACCGTCTGCCACCCACTGCCTGGAAACGATTTAGCGCCCACAGGGATTTGGGACTAGACTAAACAATCTCCTGTTATCTTCAAATATGTTTCTCTGATTGAGTAGATTTTTAATTTGTCTGGTCTCTACAGAATAAAAAGAATGATTTATTGGTGTCTGTCCTATTTTCACAAGATGTGGCTGAGATGATTGACTGAATTCACCCAGAATTCTTTTTCCCCCCTCAGGTGTTGGTCTCAGGGTCAGTTGCCCTCTGCATACCAGAATGGCCAACCAGGGCAGGGGAGTGAGGCAGTTTCCATAGCAACAGAACCACAGCTGCATCCCACTGTCCCCACACTTCCATATCATCTCCCTCTGCCTACCCACTTCCTTCTCTCAAGACACAAGACAGGGCTGGGCGCGGTGGCTCAAGCCTGTAATCCCAGCACTTTGGGAGGCCGAGGCGGGTGGATCACGAGGTCAAGAGATCGAGACCATCCTGGTCAACATGGTGAAACCCCGTCTCTACTAAAAATACAAAAAATTAGCTGGGCATGGTGGCACGTGCCTGTAATCCTAGCTACTCAGGAGGTTGAGGCAGGAGAATTGCCTGAGCCCAGGAGGCAGAGGTTGCGGTGAGCCGAGATCGCGCCATTGCACTCCAGCCTGGGTAACAAGAGCGAAAATCCGTCTCAAAAAAAAAAAAAAAAAAAAAAAAAAAAAAAAAAAAAAAAAAAAAAAAAAAAAAAAAAAAAAAAAAAAAGACACAAGACAGCCAGGCAGTTCCCAGGCCAGGAGATAATAATTCCTGCCAAGAGTGCTATGACTCTGACCACCTCTGCTGGTTTCTTGCTTTGTGTCTGCCTCTACCCCTTTTAGGTGGATTCCCTGACTCTCACCTCTCCTTCTCTCCTATTTGGTCTAGAAGCTTTGGCACCTTCATGCTTCCCAGTGTGTCTCTCATTTGTATCATATAGTATCTCTCATTTGTATCAGTAAGCTGTGAACACTTATGCTATGATGACCTTGGGATAAGAATATAAACCCATGTTAAGTTAACCGCCATCACCATCTCACCATCATCATACAACTATCATGACCAGTTTACCCCAACATCCTACCCCATAACCACCCCATAGCAACATCACCATCACCTCCACCTCCACCAGCACCCATTACCACACTCCACTCCACAACCACCCCACCATCACCTCCACCTCCACCAGCACCCATTATCACACCACACTCTATATCCACTCCACCATTGCCTCGGCTTCCACCAGCACCCATTACCACACTCCACTCCACAACCACCCCACCATCATCTCCACCAGCACTCATTACCACACCACACTCCACAGCCACCTCACCATCACCTCTGCCTCCACTAGCACCCATTATCACGCCACTCCACAACCAGCTCACTATCACCTTCACCAGCACCCACCTACCACACCCCCTCCACAGCTGCCTCACTATCACCAGTACCCCCACCCACCCCCATGGTTATACCACCATCTTTCTCCCCACCATCCATTCCATTTCCTTTAATGAAAACAGATAATGCTGTGGGGGCTGCAGACAGTCCAGCAAGCCCTGTGGAGCACTGGTCTGGCTCACCCTGTCCCATGGCTGCAGGCTGCTCCTCTTATCCACTTGGCCGTAGGAATCACGTGTCTTGAACTGTTGCTTCTGGGCTCCTTCTGTGCCTTCTCTCTTCCAGTCAGAAAATGATGAATGCACTTTTGCTGGCTTAAGAGGCTGGAAATAACAAAACTTCCTTCCACTACTCCTGTGACACACTGACAGGTTTATTCTCTCCTACTCCCTCTCTGCTGGTATCTCCTGGACCAGTTGCTGGGAGTAACCCTGTTCATTTTATCTTTTGTGCCAGGAGACCCAGGCAGGGATATGTCTGGCAGCCCTGGAGGAGGGGGGTGGAATGGGGAAGACCTGCCAACTGGAGAAGCCTAGAGGAAACCTTGAAGCCTATTGCTTCAGTGGCTTCAAGAGGCTCTCAGAGATGTCATCTGGACTGCACTGGAAGACTCTGGAAGAGAGGATGCCACAAACAGGAGGCCCATATCCAACTCCAAATCTCAGGCCCTAAACATGTCAGGGGCTGCAAGTTGCTAGATGTTCATGGGCTGTTTTGATAATAGAGAGAACATGTGTGTCTGGAATTTAACTGTGTGAAAGAGATAAGGAAGTAGAATTTGTTGGTGAAAAATAAATATCTTAAAAGTAGAAGCTGGGACCCCAACTCTTCCAAGCCTACCTGGTCTGGGACAGTCTACCAGAGAAGGTTTGGAACTATCTTGGGACTCAGGCCCTACAACTTTTCAATTTTTCCGTCTTTAGTTCCTGAAGAGACAAGACAAAGATCTCATATTTGGCCTTACCTGGGCTTCTGAAACTGTGTTACCAGAAGCACTCATGGCAGCTGTACTTGCCTGCATGTCAATGAAATGTCTATAGAATGATATAAAACATACTGCAAAAAATATTGGTTGCCTGTGGGGAGGGAATCAAGGCAGTGGGGTAGAAAGGTTATCTTTCTGCTGTTTACTCTTTTACACTTTTTAAACTTTGAACTTTTGAACTCATTTGAAGGATCTTATTATGTTAAAAAAAAATGAAACTTCTGCCTTTCACTCTCTCCCAAGAAAGATTCTTCACAAGAAATAAAGAAGTTAATTTTTCATTATTCAAAGATATCATTTTTACCTGGAAAACATGAATTTACTAACAATGATTATAAAAGGTAATTTAGTGAGCTGGCTAATACCAAAATTATAGGCACCAATAGTTTTCATACCTACAATCAATAACAACTCAGAAAATGTAACTAAAGACCCAATCTATAATAGCAACAACAACAGAAGATGAAATTTCTAGAAATAAACTTAAGAAATGTGAAGTGCTGCTTTTTTTCCCTAAGTCGGCGCTCACCAAGGAGAAAGCCATGTTCAGTTCGAGCGCCAAGATCGTGAAGCCCAATGGCGAGAAGCCAGACGAGCTTGAGTCCGGCATCTCCCAGGCTCTTCTGGAGCTGGAGATGAACTCGGACCTCAAGGCTCAGCTCAGGGAGCTGAATATTACAGCAGCCAAGGAAATTGAAGTTGGTGGTGGCCGGAAAGCTATCATAATCTTTGTTCCTGTTCCTCAACTAAAATCTTTCCAGAAAATCCAAGTCCGGCTAGTACGCGAATTGGAGAAAAAGTTCAGTGGGAAGCATGTTGTCTTTATCACTCAGAGGAGAATTCTGCCTAAGCCAACTTGAAAAAGCCATACAAAAAATAAACAAAAGCGTCCCAGGAGCCGTACACTGACAGCTGTGCATGATGCAATCCTTGAGGACCTGGTCTTCCCAAGTGAAATTGTGGGCAAGAGAATCCGCATGAAACTGGATGGCAGCCGGCTCATAAAGGTTCATTTAGACAAAGCACAGCAGAACAATGTGGAACACAAGGTTGAAACTTTTTCTGGTGTCTATAAGAAGCTCACGGGCAAGGATGTTAATTTTGAATTCCCAGAGTTTCAATTGTAAACAGAATGACTAAATAAAAAATATATTCACAGTAAAAAAAAAAAAAAAATGAAAGCAAAGGGATATAGAGTTGAGAGACTGTGCTCTCAATCCTGTACCCCAGTTGATTCTGACTCTTCTCATTCCAAAGTGGCCACTACCTTCCCTTTAGTCTCCCAAAATCAAATATATTAAGCATAA